GGTCGGGGCCAACGCACACCGAGAGTGTGCCTAGATCTGAGATGAATGCATGAAGGAAGCCACTTGGGGATGAGGGAAGAACATATCGGGGGCACATAGGGTTGAGGCATGCGTATACCGAGGGGGCATCGAGGACCGAGGCCAACACCGACTTAGGGCTCGTCCACCTAGTAAAGCCAACCATTCCTTGGAAAATAAAACCAAGTAGCATAGTCCTTGTTTGAATAAGACTCAAACATTAGAGTTTCAACTAAATTAAAGAGTTTTACTTGTAGTTAGACTAGGAGTAGTCAAGAGATGTAAGGATACTTCATTATAAAAGGAGGCTTTCCCACCTCCCTTGGACATAGAGAGTTTGTGTGAATAAACTCGGGCATTCGTACAAAAAAATTTCCCCACACACGCTTACTTACATTTTTTTATGCTTTTCCATCTTGCTTATCGCTATAGCAACATTAACCGAAAGGGTTTAGGCTGACTTAGACGCCGAGCAACCGAGCGAGGCATCTAAGGGCCACATAGACCAGCTAGCCGACAGTCTAGCCCCGTGTCAAACAGCTTTAAGATAGACTTCTCTACCACCAATGGATAATAAGTTTTTAGTCTATTCCATGATATGATTGGTAACCTTGTCGTGCAAATAACCAAAGACATTCCTTTTATTTTTGTGAAAAGGCATACCAAGGTAATGCCCAAGCTTGTCAACCTTATTAATACCAATAATGTGAGTGAGTTGTTGTCGATGCGAAGTCACAGTTTGGGGACTAGAACAAAGCAATTTTTTTGTGGTAAACCTTTTGACTCGAGGATTGCTCATAAATCAAAAGAGCATCTTTAATTTGTTTCACTTCCCTAACAGAATTCTTAAAGAAAATGAGACTGCCATCGATAAAAGAATGTGAGTTACCCTCGTACCATTTTGTCTTGCATGAATACCCTTTATGTAGCCACAACGTTGCTTCTTATTCAACAAAGCAGATAAACCTGGAGTACAAAAGAGAAGCAGGAAAGGTGACAGCGGGTCACCCTGACGTAAACCACGGCTCAGACAAAATTCCTGAGTCAAGGCACCATTGACCCACATCGAGAAAATAGATTCCACACACCTCATAATAAAGTCAACCAAGAAGTGTAGAATCCCAATTTTAATATCACCGCTCGAAGGAAAGGCCATTCAACCCTTATCATAAGCTTTTTTCACATCAAATTTTAGAGCGACACCCTTATTTGTATCATTTTTGGAAGAGTTCATATAATGAAGAAGTTCGTGAGCACAAGGATATTATCCGAAAAACAACTTGATTTTCACTGATGTAACTAGCCATGAATCCTTTCATTCTTTGAACCAAGACCTTGGAAACGATCTTATAAATCACAATGCATAACCTAATGGGTCGAAGTTGCTTCATTCGTTGAGGATCCATAACCTTAAGTATAAGAACAATCACAATTTTATTAACCAATCCCTTGTCAATAACTTCGAATTAATATCCTTAAAGGAATCAATTACTTCATCTGAAGCAAAGTCCGTACATAAGGAATCATTCATATCATCAGAAACCACGGGAACAATAGCATCCATCAATTGAGCATTAATCCTAGGATTTGAATCTGTATATAACTTACAGAAATAATCAATAATAATGCGCATTATGTCTTCTTTACCTTCCATCCAATTGCCCAGACTTATCAAAGAGACCACGAAGATGATTCTTCTTTCGTCTATCATTGGCACGAGCATGGAAATACGAAGTATTACAATCACTATGAGATAACCAAGCAACTCTAGACCGTTGGAAGAAAAAAATCTCCTCTTTGTTAAGTAAATTCTTTAGTTCAATTTTCTTTTGGATAAAGGTCGCAATTTCGTCTTCATTAAGATGATGCTGAAGGCAATCCTCCACAAATTCATGTAACTCTTTAATTCGCTTTTTATCAGTGGAATATCGATGACGCTATCAGTCGTCTAAGGACACTCCAACAACCTTCAGTTGTAAATTGTATTACTAGGAGTCAAACGTCACGCATCCTAAATCTTTGACTTAAATGCACGTTCAATAGCCCAACACATATCAAATCTATAGTAGTTAGCGCGATTTTGGTCGGCCATACACGGTTTCAGCAAGTATCCATGATTAACTAATAATGATCTGTAAATTTCGTAGACACCTTACTGTTAGGCTAGTGTTTGCTATCAACATACCTATCAATCCTCCACCGAATGGTAAGAGTGGAATCATTACAATAATGCCAAGTGAACAAACCCCGGGTATGTTTACAATCAAAGAAGCCAGTACTATCCAACGCAGAACGAAACTCCTCAATATTAACCCTAGGTTTCCAGCGGCCACCCTATTTCTCGGAATCAGTTAAAATCTCATTGTAGTCTCCTCCAACTAACCAAGGAAGCATAAAGACCGACTGAGAGTGGAAAGAGTTTCCCAAAAAATAGGTTTAGATGGACATGATGGCTACTATAAACTCCAGTAAAATGGAACCGATCACGGTCATGGTGAACGATAGCATCAATATGGAACCTTGAAACGATAAAAAAATCAACTTTGACTTCAATACTCCTAAATAATAATCGAGTCGTTAGCCTTTGTTTACTGTTATCAATAGGGATAACATATGATTTTATGTTAGGGGTAAACCTCTGAAATTTTAAGAGGTGATAAATTTATAAAATTCGAGGAATAGAGAAAACATATTTAAATAGAAAAAATCTAAATATATAGTAATTTTAAATATTCAGAGGCGATACCCCTTCGGTCCATCCCTAATTATCAAGGATGATGATTTGATATATTAAATTAATAAGTAATATCTAATTTGTTCCTCAATTGTACCTAAAATTTCATTTTTAATAGTTTTCTAATATTCCTAAACAAAACTTTAAAAAATAAAATAAAAATAAAAAAGATTTGCAAAAATATATAAAAATCGAACTTTTATTTTAAAAATTTAATTTTAGAATTTTTAACATCATAAATCATTTAATATAAATACAAATTTACTAACACAACTAGTAAATAATACACAAATTAAGTTTTTATAATTATAAAATGATGTATTTTGTGGACTAAAATGATATATTTTACTTGCTATTAATATTTAATAGAACAAAAGTAGTACCAGAAAGAAAAGGAATTTATTGAACATAAACTTGCAATTGGACAAGTTTGGTATTGGTTGGCATAATGGAAGTTTTCAATTAATGAACACTTTAATTGAAGTTGACATAGGTTGGTTTAAGATTATTTACAGCATTAATATTATATACATTTATTCTAATTTAGTTCAACATAAAATATATTATAAATCTTCAGGTCATTCTTATTATTTTTCATTATTTCATGTTTGGTTCATAAAATAATACTCCCTCTATCTCATAAAATATGTTTATTATTGACTTTTTTGAGCCAATATTTTTTAATTTTGACTAATTATTATTTAAAATTTATTATTGATAAAAATATGTAAAAATAATTTTTAAAAATCTTCATATTTAAAATATATATTTTTATAAAATTTAATTATTTAAAATATTTAAATAATTATACTCAAAGTTTTAAAGTTTTAACTTTTAAAAAGTAAAAAGGAGACAATTTTTTATGGGATAGAAGGAGTAATATTCTATTGATTGGACGTTACAGTCCATCTCTGATTATCTCCATCAATGTATCTTTATACTCATCATTTAATGATACATGTACATGAGAGGTAATATTCTTTATCCCATATAAAAGAAGAAGGAAAATTGAGCCATCTGATTTTATAATAAAATATCAAATATTTTTAATATTATATAAAAATTTAAAATTTTTAATAGAAGTTAGTTGATCTAGTGAGAATTTTGATAATTTCTTATAATTTCTTTAGATTATTTTATTTTTAATATTTTTTAAAAGAAAAATAAGTTTTAGACAATCTGTTACTACTATATCAACGTGTTAACGATTTCAATTTACCAGCGTAACGTCCGTTGACTATATAAGGGCTCATTTGAGTTTTTTTTTTAATGAGGGGATTAGTTGAGAGGTATTTAGGGGTTTACTTGATTATGGTTAAGGCACGGTGGGACAATTTGTATATTAGTCTAATAAATTTAAGGTTTAATGATATTTGAGACCCTTGAATTTCTAAAGAAAAAAAAAATCAATACGATTCTTAAATTTATTTTACAACAAATGTCTTAAATTAACGAAAAAAATTAACCTAACTCCTTGTCCAACGGAGTAAAAGGTTTTTTGCTCAAATATATTTTATCAATTTTAGTAATATTTAATCGTTTGTATTCTAATGGCACAATTCTATAAAATACTCATAACATTTGATTGAATAGTATTTTGTCACCTTTTTTTTTTTTGAAGCACTTTAACTCTCAAGGTTTTATTTTGGGTCAAAATGGTCACCCATGAATGAAAACCGTTAATCAATTAACTATTAATACTGGAGATAACGTGATAGATCTACATGACACTCAGACGCTGATTTGGTAGTACTATATATATATATATATAAGTGCTGACGTGGTAAAATAATACACTTGCAAGATGATTGAAAAGTTATTTAGCTTGACATGATCCAAAATCTAAATTTGCATCCTTGTAACACCAGACAAGGGTGGTTTCCTGATCCTCAATATTGGCCTGTTCATGTATTGTTACATCAGAAGTTGTACAATATGCTTCCTAGTCATCTGCTTCAAGTTGCATCGCCACTCTCTTTTCCAATTCACAGGTGAATTCTTTACTAAAAAAGGTTACGTAAGGGGAAAGGCCAATCCGTACAACACATCTACCACCATTGGATCACTGTGAGAAAGTTAACCAAGAGGAAATACTTTGGAGCCATCATGGAAGTGATTGTGAGGCTAACACAATTTGATTCGCTACCTACTTGTGCGAATGATTGATCACTTTGGTTATAGATTTAGGGTCATAGTTTGTTGACATGATGCAATTAAGTCTTTAAAAAGAGATGATTTGAGCTTTGAATTAATGGTTAAATTAAACAATATTCATATGAAAGAATAATAAGTTTGGCCTAAATCTCAATTGTTTTTTGATTAATAGCTTTGTATCTCCATTTCTCTTTCTCCAAGAAGTCAGCATCCAGGAACCTTGAAACAAATGCCCAAAGCCAATATATGTCTTCAAAATTAGTGAGTAACCCAACTGCAGCTGTCACAACCTGCAATTTCTCCTTGTCCTTCACTTCTTCATGCTTATCCGAGAAACAAATGTGTTGCAAATATGCAATGCTCAAAGAAATGTTGTTCCTATCAGCCAGCTTTTGTACTAATGCGGGATCGATCCTCTCGCCTTTCCAATCGAACACGTTGAAAGCGACCGCAGTGCCTCTGTCGAACATTATTTTGGGACCATAGATTCTAACCGCAGCTACTCCGTTTTCCGAATGTAGGTGTTGTAGGCTCATCAATGCGTTCACCAACCAGTTGATTAAGCTCCTTGTCCTGCTGCTGATTTGCACAAGGCCTAATGAATCTGCATGCTCCAAGGCTCTACATTCAATGACCTGAGGGGCATCGGTGATTTCCGAGCTCGAAGATTCGATGGTTTCTGCATCTGTTGCTTCTTCGATTTCAGGTATTGGAGTTGGCTTTGAAACTGGGACAAGATTCACTATTCCAACACTTGTGGATGTGGCTGAATCCTTGAAAACAGAACAAGCAGTGGATTTCTTGATAAACAAGAAACAAAACCCTGATGGGTTTTCTCCAAAAACCTTGAAGAAGGAGGAAATAAGGAAATCAGAATCAAAAAGTGAAAGCCCTAAGGTCTCCATTTCCTTGGCTCCCAAGGCAGATGCATCAAGCAGCACATGCCACCCATTCTCCTGAGCCAAACTCATCCAACTATATGAATATCTTGACCCTGTGACCCTTGACTGAAGTGGGACAACAAAAAGTCCTCTCCTCTTGCCTTTACTCACTATCTTCTTCCTCAATTTCTCCGATCGGATTCACAGATTAGGCATCGAGAAACAAGCCGACATAACATTAGCTCCCCTCTTCTTGGACCTCTCAATCATCACTTCAACAGCCTCACTTTGATGGTCATAAACAGTGAGAAGATTTTCACCGGACCGAAACGGATAAGCCTCGGTCAAAAGCATGAAAGCCGAAGCTTGATTCGCTGTGAAAACCACGGCGTAATCAGCTTCCGAGATGTTCATAAACCCCATGATTCTTTTCCTAATACCAGACTGAAGCTCGGTCTCTTCACCACCATATAAAAGCAGGGAATTCAGGTTCACTGACTTGCAGGAAATATCGAAAAATGGAGAGGGCAGCAACTGATTTTGGGGCTGAGAATAAGAGAAAAGATCATGGCCAATGTAATCAAAACAAGCAATATGTTTCAGATGACGGTATTCTAGAGCTCGGATCTTGTCAGCTTGGTCCGTCTGGGAATATTGAGGGTACACTTTGTTGAAAGATGCAAATGATTCCTCAAATGAAGGGAGGGATTCATGGTTGGTAAAATGGAAATTAGGGTAAAGAGAAGCAGCCGTGCTAGCCTCGAACTCATGCACCGATGCGGCGGCACTTTTGCTCGGTGTCCCTGAAGTCGAAGCTCCGCATTCGGAGAGTCCGGCAAAAGGATTCGGGCAACAACCAGAAGAACAACAGGCCTCCGAAGCCTTCCTTAACCATGGTGATTGCATTCTGTTAGTTTATTTGAATATGAAGGTAAAAAGTCTTCAATTATTAGCCGTTTGTTGGGTTTCGTCCAATGTAAAACCCCATCACACTTGTCATCATGCTGGATTGAATTGACCTCGTCTTTCATGGATGACAATACTACTCGTTGACCGTAGAATTTATATTTAATGCAATATATATAAGGGTAAAGTATACAAAGGTCCAACGATTATAGCACTGCTTTGTGGGTCTCATAATTAGAAGTTATAAAATGGTCACGACTATAGAATGTACTTCGTTGAGTCGGCAATTAAAAGTTACAAAATGATCACCAAATATTCATATGTTACAAACTCATCATTTCCAATTAAAATACGATGGTTTCCTGACCTTGACGTTAACTTAGTGACTAAGGGTGTTCATAGTTCGGTTATAACCGAATTACCTGATTGAACCGAAATTTTTTTCGGTTAATTTTGAGTTTATTCGATTAACGGCTAATGGTTTTTTCAAACTTCAGTTATCGGTTAATTCGATTCGAAATTGGTTAATTAACCGAACTAACTGAAATATTAAATATTTATATTATATAATATTTAGTTTTAGGAGTGTTAAACTTTAGTTTTAACCGAATTAACCAACTGAATTAACAAAAAAATTAAATATATATATATATTTATAAATTTCGGTTGACCGATGAAATTAACCGAATTTAGTTCGGTTCGGTTAAAATATTTTAAAAAAAGTTCGGTTAATGGTTATTCGGTTTGATCGGTGATCGGATTAACCGAATAAACACCCCTTCTGGTGACTGAGATATGATAAAATCTAATCCCATAAATGTTTAAGTTGTCTTTTGTGGATCGACTCTCCGTTTTTATTATGTCGTCGAGCTAGTGCTTCAAACATTATGACATTAAGCCAATACTTGAAAGCAGCGATGATACTAGTCATTATTAAATATGATTTATCATCTTAGTCAACATGTCAATTCCAACTCAAATGGTCGTCAATTTTTTTAATAAAAACGAACGAGTTGGAACATATGAATAGTCAAGTGATTATTTTGTAACTTTTAATAGCTGGGGACTCAACAAAGTAATGCCATATAATCGAGGGACCATTTGTATACTTCACTCTAAATACAATAGTATATATATATATATCTTGATTAATTACTATATGCAAAGTCAAACTTCTTATCATGGTTTCCAAATCAATTAGAATGTAATTAGCCTTTTTTAATTATAGAAAAATTGCTTAAAATTCTCATGAAGATGCGAGACAAGCAGAAGCCAACAGCAGAAACAGGCAAGGGAAAATTTGGAAGATGCCGGCTTTTTGAAGCAGGCCAAGAGTCTTCATTTTCAAATTTTTCCTATTAACACTATGCACTACTTGTTTTACACGTTATTTTTCAGGTATAATCACTGGTATTTAATTTATTAATCGATTAATCCATATCAAGTACTACAGAAACAAGAACGACCCTCCAGTCCAGTTTACAAATGTCATAATTCGAATTCCTGACCTTGCTTTATTCAATTATTGCTTCATTCAATTATTGCTTCATTCAATTAAACCAAATATTGTTTTACACGTTATTCTTGTCTTGTTATATTTTCCTTTGTGGGTATTTTATTACTCCCAAAAGGCTAAACGGGACAAGGCATGTTGTATAAGTCAAGCTCACTTATGGCCCTTCCCATCTTGGATCATAGGTCATTTCAGTTTATATCAAAGACTCTTCACCCAATTCTTATTTTATACCTTTTACATTGCTAACTCCCTAATTTTTTTTATATAATAATATGAAGTGATTACAGTATAATATATGTTCAAAATCTTCTTTACCTATTGCAACACACATTCTGTATATGTAGTTGTTCAAACCCAGAATCTCAAGAGAGAAAAACACTCCCTTGAACTAATGAAACCACTAAATGTGTTCCTAATTTCTTAGTTTTTGTTATCAAATTATGAGAATTTTGTTTATCAAATTTAACTCCGGTGTATGTTATTATTTATTTTAGAGAATATAATAATTTAAATGACTTAATTGGTAATTTTAAATTCAGTTAAGGTAAAAATATCTTAACAACTAGAACTTGTTTTAAATTTATATCATATTTTTCAAAAAATATATTATTTTTTTCTTTGAAAAATTATCTACCCTAATTTTTTAATCATTTTTACTACTTTTGACCAGCATCCCTCCTATATTTTCATTTTTTGCTTTGTATCATTCTAAATACACCAAAATTGAGAACATTTTCACTGTCACTTGTTATCTTCACCCCTCTTGAGCTTGCTAAATATTCATGTCGATAATGTTTTTTTTTATTCTTGAGTCCCATTTTTATAAATAAATTTAAAAACTATCTATTCCCAACGAAATATGTTAGTTTCATTGAAATATTAGAGATACCACAATCAAATCAAATGCACTCGATTGCAATTGTGCACGAGAACTTCTCCTATGATCCTTAAAATTTAGGTGTGTGTGAATGCCTTCACTCTTTTTCAGAGAAGTCTTTCTCTACTTCATCGAAGTTTTGTGCAAGCCACGAGATAGAGATTCAGCCACCATTGAACTTATCTGATATCTTTCTAAGCGATAACTGGCACAAAGTAGACTAGTCTACTTCACTCATACGGGACACAACATGATCATCCATTTAAAAAACTATATGGAGTGAAATATCCTCCAAACTGATTGTACACAACATGTCCATCAGCAAGTGTAACATGTGATACATCACATGGCCCCAAAATCTTGAGGTTCCACACTCTAAAAAATATCTTGATTTTTCTTCTAAGAGTGTTCGAATGATGATATTTTTTAAATATAATATCATGATTATAGAGTTATTTTGTGACATTAATTTAGTTTCACATGTTTAAAATTTTAATTTTATTTTATAAGAAACAATAGTAATAAAGTAAAATTTGATATTTTATAATTTTATTTTATTATAAAAATTTTAGAGACCTCATTTTAAAATCTAACATCGGACCTTCAAATCTATTGGGACGGGCCTAAATGGAAGGTGTATTTCTTTGGTCACTACATCTTTGTGACTGCATAAATAAGTGATGATTGCAACTTACAATATCAGACACTCGAGACACATAAAGAAATTTGGCTTATCATAAGTACTTTATAATATTTGTAGTTAGACGCTAGTATGTATCAAACATTAAATAACAGGTTGCTTTACTTAACACATACACGGTCAGACATCACATATACGATTCAACATTTAAGTCAATTTATGCAAGCTTCAAAGAAGGTTCATTATGAAGGAGCTTTGCAAGTTGAACGTACATGTGCAGAGACGGAGGGCCCTTGGGGCCCAAGGGGTCCAGCCCTCTTTAATTTTATGTTTTTTTTACCTTAGTACTAATATAATTGTACGAGCTTACAAAAAGTTTATAAATAGAGTAAAATATTAAAATCTTTCATAGAAAAATCTTGAGTTAATCACCTTCATATCGACTAAAGCTCCTCCAATATTGCTTTAATCTGATTCTCCATTGTTTGACACTCAATTATCAAAGGTACGTAATTAAATAATATTATAATTATTATTTTCTTAATTAGAATTATTTGATCTTATATTTAATTTTAGTATTCCTTTAGTTAATCTAATAATTGTTAAGGGCTACCATTGTTCGACACTCAATTATCAAAGGTACGTAATTAAATAAAGTGATTGTTCGACACTAAATTTGATTTTTTTAATGTTTGTGAATTATTTTATAAAATGTAGCTTGCATGAGAAAAATCCAACTATTATTGAGCTTTTTAAGAGAAAAATGGGGAAACTTCGAAAATTACAAGTACAACTGAAACTTCAACAAGTATACCTATTGACATTTCACATTCGGAAGATAGCCTTTAAAGATAGCTAGAAACCATAAACAAAGTACTAACTCTAATTATTTGGTGCGAGATCTCGTAAGCGCAAGCAAATATGAGAATGTCATTCTGAACAGGAAAGAAATGAAATTTGAAGAGCTTATATTGGAGGGGTCCATATCAAACAATTTCTCTGAATTCAAAAAATTGGACATTCTCACCTCGTCGATTTCAAGCTTCCTGGTATAAAAACTTTAATTAATGGTTAGAATATTCTCCTAAAAATATGATGTCTTCTGTTTTATTTTCTTTCTTTTTAACAAACCAAATAGTCATTCATCACACAAGACTTTCACTATGAATGGGTTTTGAAATTGGAATAAAGTAAATTGAAAAAGTTGTTATTTTAATATGCATGTAGGTTTGAACCTAATTCACCTCATAAAATTGATGAGCAAGAATTGGAGGGTTTTCTTAACCAGTATAGACACATGCCACAAGTGTTGCATAAGCAAACAACATTAGAAATTGCTAATAATAGGCTTAGACTTGAAACCTCTATAGATGCATTGTGTTGGCTAGCTTTACAAGGGCTACCAATGAGAGGTCGTGATGAGAGTGAATCTTCATCTAACCGAGGAAATTTTCTTGAACTCGTGAAAAAACTAGCCTCTTATAATAAAGATGTTGAAAAAGTTGTATTAGCAAATGCTCCAAAAATGCTCCTTACACTCCGCATGAGATACAAAAAGAGATTTTACATATTCTGGCAAAGAAAATTAAGAGATCAATTCGTGAAGAAATTGGTGAAGAAAATTTTGTGTTTTTATTGATGAAACGGGGGATGTATAAAAACAACAACAAATGACTATTATTTTATGGTATGTTGATAATTTCGATATAGTAAAGGAACGTTTTCTTAACATTATTCATGTTCTTAATACTTCAACAGTGACTTTAAAAGATGAGATATTTTCTGTTCTTTCTCGTTATTGCTTTGACATAAAGAATATTTGAGGCCAAGGTTATGACGGTGCAAGCAACATGCAACTAGTTAGCAATGAGTGTCATTTTGCTTACTATGTGCAATTTTTTGGCCATAGTTTAATGTTGGCACTAGTAGTTGCAACGAAAGAGGTCATAATTTTTTATCATTTTTCCAAGTTATCCTTTATTATCAATGTTGTTCTTGCCTCATATAAGCATATCAATGAACTAAAAAAATGCTTATTCTGACGAAATAAATCATTTGATTGAAGAAGAACAACTTGAAATTGGAACTGGTTTGAATCAAATAAGTAATTTACAGAGGACAGGTGATACTCGATGGCTTCTTACTTGAGATCAATTTCAAGCTTGATAAAAATGTTTAGTGCCACTTGGGTTGTTCTATGATAGGGTAAGTGAAACCCTAATCTGGATAAATCTAGGCCATTAGATCAATATAGATCTAATGGCTGATGTGGTATGGCAGCTAGAACTTGATGGAGGCTAGGTTTTCTTCACATCCTAGCAGCTTGGGTTGTATTTAGGCCTCCAACTGGTTGAGCTTGGATGTAATTAGTGCTAGGGTGTTGGCTTGTAAAAAAACTTGTATTAAAAATGGGTTTAATACAGCTGCCCCTCTTTGCCCATGCTTTTGTTAACAAGAATAGGGTAAAGATAAAAAAAGCTACAAATTTTGTTCGGTTCCATCTCAACGCTGTCTCAAGTAAGACTGAAAGATAAGTCGAAGGATTTAATCATCATGCTTGAAAGACTTACTGATGGCCTGAAGGTCTTACCAATTTTAGAAATAGTTTACTAGGTCAGAAGCTTTGGAAATTACTTTCGTACTTTTTCTGAAAATATTAAATAAGAAACTTCAGAAATCGGTTTCTAATTTTTCAAAAATCATGTGAAAACATCATGCCCGAAAGTCTTATCATCTTGCTCGAAAGACTGACAGATGACCCAAAGGATTTAATCATCATGCTCGAAAGACTTATTGATGGCCCGAAGGACTTAATAAGTAAGAAACTTTGGAAATTGCTTTCTCATTTTTAAAAACAACTTAATGGTCGGGTAACATGGCCACTTTAAAGTAATATTTCTTCTGTGGATTGGGCCCCTTTGTTATTAGGTTATGCCTCTCTAACATGATTTCATGTATTTGAGGTGTGAATTCTATCTTTGACTTGTTGGGATTTCGACAACATGAATCTTCTCTATTCATTAGATGATCTGTAAAAACCATGCGTTTATGTGTGAAATACGAATGCAATTAAATGTATCAATATAATACATTTTCTTTTATGCAAAAGATGTTCTCATGAATGCATAAATGTTTATTCAATTTTCCTTTGACTCCTAAGTGGAGAACTCGGTCTTCTTCTACTTGATCACTCTTCTCTAGGGTTTACACATATATCAGTGTAGCAACTTATAATTTCAAGCTTGCATTTTTGAAGAGTCATTTGATCAAGTTATGTCTTTGTGTTATCTTTGCCTCTCATTTACATTAAAGTCTCAGGAGAAATGTTTAATTTCTCGGATTCTTACTACGGTCATGAATATGACCTTGATGCGCCTTTCTGTCATTGACTCAATTGCGCTATCATAGTGTTTTCCAGGACTCTACAGTTAATTGATACTCGAGTGGTTTTCTCTGCAAGGAAAGCTCTTCTCAAATTCATGTTTTCCCCTGAAACTCCATGTTTTGAGGCTCACTCTCAATGTCTTTTGGTTTGAACCTTGCTATCTCAGTATGATCTAGGTTTTTGGTAATGCACCAACGGGGGTACTTTTATGAGTCATCCCTATTTGGATGCCAAAATCTCATCCTTGACTGATATCACTCTTGCATCATTTATAAAAAATCACAAGCCCATCTTATTTAGGAGATTGTCTGCTTCATGATTTATCACTGATGTTAATGATGTCACAACAAAGTATATGAAGTTTTTGAGTCTTTTGATCTTTCAATTTCATGTTTCAAAAGAAACGAAGAATGTTCCTTTATCCTATGTCTTTTAATTCTTCTTGTTTTGGCTCTTATTATTTCCTCTCACTTCTTCATTTAAGGTAGAACAAGTCACATCATCATCAGGGTCCTCATTCATTCTCGATAGATTTTACTGTTTGAATTTTTTCCTTTATTTTATTTTAGAAATCAAAGAATGAAAGAATTTTATAAAGTATTGCCCCTTAATTCAGACTCACAATTGAAGTACATCATAAACATGAGTTTATAGAATATAAAAAAAATCAACTGCTCTTTAAATTTTCACAATTATACTCATTTGACAAATGTCAAGACTAGTGGGTTAACTTCAAGTTGTCTTCCTATTTTCTAAGGTTTCAGCCATCGAGATATCTTTATTTTTTTATATGCCCATGTGAACCTTGTAACATGCCCCTGTTTCTTGGCTTGGCATATTAAGTGGATGCAGACAAAATAAAGCAATTAGCACATTCAATTTCTAGACTTTTTGGAACACTTCCATTTCAGTTCTCTGAAATCTTTCATTTTTTCAAGTTTTGCAAACTCCTTTAGTAGAGGCAATATCGAAAATATCAATCTAAATATAAAATTCTTGAGCACTTGTGTGAGGTCGACTATAACAGGTGTTCCTTGAATCCCTTAGTCAATTTTACTAAAACCCCTTATTTAGTAAATTTAATTTAATTTTCCTTTGTTTGGCTAGGTGAATTCAACTTTATTGTATATATATTTTATAATTGCCTTTATTGGGTTAGCTGAATCTATTCATAAAGCTGGGGCATTTAACCAATTGCTTTAGAGAACAACTCAAGCTTTATTATACATATTATAATTACGTTCATGGGTCTATATATTCAATTTATTAAGCTCATCGGGGAGAACTTGTTATAGTCTAGGTGTCGTTGAAGGTCAGGAAATGCCATCTTCAGAGTTTAATCCCCAAGAAGCTGACCAAAACTAAATTTATTTACTCGACTATTCCATTATGAATATATTAGAATTATCATTCAACATCATCAATAGAATTAAAACCAATAAACTTTGTAACCACATATACAATATATCCCATTTCGTATACTCCTATACATTCCTACATACCAAGCTTTTCGATTGTCTATTCATGCGAGGAGAAGGCTATCTTGGTCCCTATAAAAGAGGGGTATGGTATTCTGGTGTATCATCTAGAGAAAGATCAAGGGATGTTGTTTTCTATGGGGTTCAGTCTTGTCACTCTGTCAAAGATTTACAACTCTAATTATTCAAAGAACCTTTAATTCAATCGATAATTAGAGAACTTCAATATTACAAATTTGATTCAATGCTCACAATCTTTAAAATAGCATAAGTTCATTTAAATATCCTTACAAGAAAGCTGAGAAATGACAAAAAACAAATTCAAACAAGATGTTTTCAACGTAAGGTGAAATTGTGGTGGATAACAACCTCAACTTGTTCATCTAGAATGCTAGAATATTGGGTATCTAATTGGATTAGGGTATTTATTCTCATTTTATCCCCATCTCTCAATCATTTCTCATGTCAGGACTCCCTTGTCAACGAGCTTTTCTATCTCTTCCATCAATGGTATGCACTTGTCAGTGCGATGGCCCAATGGCCCCATATGAAACTCACAAAGACTATTTGGGTCATAGCCATAAGCGGATGAGCTAGTCCTCATTCTCAAGGGCCTTGGGGTGAGGTATTGACTCTTGATTAAAGGGGATAACAAGTCAGAAATGACACTTGAAAAATCTTGAGGGTCATATTTTTCCAAGACATCTTTTGCTACAAGTCTCGGATTACTTCTCTTTTAATTTCCTTTTCGTCACTTCCCATTTTCAGCATCAAAGAAGTCTCAAGAGTTGGATCCTTTAACTCTGCCTCACATACCTTACTTACCTTGATTTTGATTTTTTCCTTCTTCACCCCTTTTTCTGTATGCACTTCGTTCCTTTTGACCCTATTAACTCCATCCTAGAGGCTGACTCCCAACTGTTTGACATAAAAAACTGATTGTTAACATCCACCTCTATAACTCTATGAGCCAAAAGTTATTGGACTTGTCATTTGAAGTTACCACAATTATCGATGGAATGTCCTCGGGCTCCAACATGATATTCACAGGAAACTTTCTCATTATACCAATTCAGATAGGGGGTAACAGAGGCTTAGCCAGACATGGAGTAATCAGTTGAGCTACGAGCAACTTGGGATATAATTTGTTGTATGAAAATAAAGGAAAGTTGAGCTACCCATACATGGTATGATGAATCCTACCCAAACATGCTTTCTACCCACATGCTTTTTTATTCACAAAAAAAATAAGTGCATTTTCTTAGTTCACAGGCTTCGTACATAAACATAAAACCTAACAGCATACTCTTATAGTTCGCATGTTTTTTCGCAAAATAAATAAATAAATCTGAGGAAAGGTTGAGTGAGTTTCCCCTTTCTGACTTTTGTAGAACATAGACATAATTTCGGTACAAAACAGGCAGAGTTTCAGTACTACTAAAAGGGTCCTCGAATTATCCTTTACTGATGCCCCCTTGGGCCTGCCAGAGCCTCAATCCTCACCTATTATAAGCTGAAACGTATCAAGTTCAATTCGAGAGGATGCATTTCCCTATGTCCATGTAATGAAACTCAATTTTCGCTTATAAACACAAGGTATATGTATCCCAGAGGTTACTTGCTAATGCCCATGCGGAGAAAAATAATTTTTCTCACGTAAGCGTAGCCCCTACCTAACAGGACAAAGCAAAATTAGAAGGCACTAAATATTAAAATGGTTATAGCATGTATGAGGGAAAACTAACAATCATTTGCCTTGATCAGAAAACAATCATACAAAAAAAGGTTAGAAATTTGAAACACAAAAATTACACATTTGTACAACTAATAAATAAATAAAAGATGTATGATGTGATGCGATGCAACCAAAAACATAAGGATCAAAATTTAAATATCATTTATATTTACCATTTTCAACTAAATAGATGAGGTATAATCGATTACAACCTGACTCTCTAACTTCCCAAATGGAGTTGCCAAGCTATTGAAATGGTCTTTATGTTTTTAGGGGCTATTGCGGGGAGCGATCCTACTTAATTTTGGAAAAGTTTGGTTTTTTAAATAAATAAATTTGGAGTCTCCATCGACCTTTAGGTTAGGTTGGTCGAATACCTAAAAATATCCTTTAAATTTTTTTAAGAAAAATGATTTTGAAAGATAAAAAGTTATATGCGTGTAACTAGAAACTCATTTTGAAAAGGGTTTGTTTCCTTCCCATACATCATCCAAAATCTATACTTAAGCAATTATACATAATCTAAATGTTGAAATTTGCAAATTTGAATATACATTAAATTATGATCCTAATTTTTTTTTCAAAAATGGCATTATTTCATACTGACAATCCTCAAAAACACGATCCTTGCTAGTTAAGGAGTGTTTTTATGGATTCTCCATTCAAAAGATAATTACCATGTTTTTCCAAATTATATATTTAATAAATAAATAATTAAATAAAACAAAATAAAGAAATCACTTGAGTATATAAAAAAAGGTTATTTTGCATAGGTAATTATTGAAAACACATTCCTTGTTAGTCAAGGCACCTTTACATAAATTTCCTATACAGGATAATATTCACTTCATTTTTATAGTGAGAATACCATATTTAATATAAATATCATTCAAATGTAAAAAAAATGTATTATGCTATACGAACAATTCTCGAAAACACACTTGTTGTCAGTTAAGGTGCACCTCCATAAATTTCTTATATAAAATAATATTACTTTAATAAATGGAAGAAAAATATACGAAAACATACACACATACACACACATATATATATATATATATAAATATATTATATTATATACTTATTAGTATATATGATGCTAATGTACTAGAGGAAACCCAACGAAGACTTAAAAAGAACAATATAACACAGAAAGCTCGAATGCAACTAAAAAGTTAAAAAACTATGTAAATGGATGATCGAACTAAAAATATGACAACTTTAAAGGTTAAACTATAAACAGAACAAGGACTAGGAAAACATTGTAAATATCATACAATTATGAACTGGAATCGTAATAAAACCATCATCAACATTCATGACTAAAATTAAAATTATTAAAATATGATACTCAATATAAATAAGCATAAAAATGAAATAACAATTGAAAGGGGCTTAAATAAAATGCGGATAAATTAACATTTTTGAAATAAAAGAAATGTAACTTCATTTAGTGACTAAATTGAAAATTTAAAAATCTAGGAGGACTGAAAAGGGGTTTACCCACGCACTAGGCGCTCACTCTTCCCTCCCTAAAATAGTGTCGTATAATATAGGGTAAATAACCCTAAAACAATTGAAAAAATGGCCTAAATCATCATTTGTAACCTCGTATTTTCCTTTCTAAAGAGAATAATCTCATTTCTCTACCCTCTCTCCTCCTCGCCTCCTCACCGAGAGAGGTTGAAGACTTCAGACATCGAAACTGAGCACCGGGGATAGTGTTCGAAAAACCTAAAACCCTTTAAAATGACCTCCCTTCCTCAAGCTAGATCTAAGTCTCTTTTCATCTAAAGACTCACGAAACACCATAGATCTACGGGGTTACCTTCGGGGAAAAACACTCTCCAACATCGGTTGGACTCTCTGGAAAGAAGAACGGTTAAGCCTCATCTTTCCTTCATTTTTCCCTTTTTTTCCTTTTGATTTTTTTCAAAAACATCTCATTTTTTTAGTATTCGAAAAGTCCCCATTTTCCTCTCATTCGTTCTCTTTTTATTCTCGTTCGAAGCCTTCTTTTTCCCATTTGGTTGCATGTTGATAATTTTAATCTTTTTTTTTTATTTTTTTTTCTTTGATGTTATGGTCGAGGAGTAAAATTTGGTGGGGATGTATGTATAGATGAGGTAAAATATTTTTTACCCCATAACTTCTAGTTTGGTTCGTGATGACCTACAATGAACTTACTGTGATGATAGTAGGCCTCAGGAATCGGCGAGACGAGCAGGTGCATCTCACGTGGGTAGAGGGAGACACACGTGAAAGCAACGATGTTGTGAGTGCTTAGGATGAAACCCTAATCATCAAAGAATCAACCATTAGATCTACGTAGATCTAATGGTTAGATAAGGTGGCGGTAGGTTGCTAATGATAAGGTAAGGGAAACCCTAATCTGGATAAATTTGGGACATTATATCAAGCATGGATCCAATGGCTGATGTGGTCTGGCGACTGGAACTTATTGGAGGCTAGGGTTTCTTCAAACCCTAGCAGCTTGGCTATATCTGGGCCTCTAACCGTTGGGGTTGGATGTAATTAGTGCTAGGTGTGGGCTTGTAAAAAACATGTATTAATAATAATAATATTATTATTATTATTATTATAATAACAACAACAACAATAACAATAATAAGCCGTACAAATGGGTGTCTACATTATGCATTGATGTTATCATTTATATTTTTTTGAAATAATCAATAATAGGTAAAATTATATATATAACTTAAAGTTGTTAAAAAGATTCGGCCTCTATTGAGATCTAGTTTTGGCTTTGTCCTTGTACATGTGTCAACCAAGGAGCAACAAGTTGTATATTAATCAAAAGTTTGGGTGTATCCCAACATGAATATCTGATGTGCAAATTGAGAATCAAATATATATATATAGGAACGCTATACTATTATATGTAAAACTATTTAGTTTTACACATATTTATGACTGTTGGATGAGTGAAAATAGATGGTTGAGATTAATAATAAGAAATAAGAAGTATTCACTGAAAAAAACAATGAGTCATTTCAACCATCTATTTTAATTCATCCAACGATCCTAAATCTGTGTAAACTAAATAGTTTTACATTGTGTTAGTAGACCCTAACCCTATATATATCCCCAACTTGAGGGGAGTGTTAAGAAGGGTAGTTATTTAGTTAGTTAGGAGAATAGTTAAACTGATTATTATATATAAGGGTAAATTACACATTTAGTACCTAAAATTAGTTTTTTTAGTTCTTAAACTTTCAATTTTAAAATCCATACCTAAAGTTTACTTTTGTTTCATTTTCATATCTCGACATTAAAATTTTACTTGTTTAGTACCTAAACTATAAGTTTTGATCCATTTTAGTACCCAAATTTTCATTTTTTTTCAAAACTTAAATATGATTTAGGTATTAAACATTTTTGGCACCAAGACTTTCATTTAAATCTTCAATTCTAAATCACTAAAAAAATGTTAGCCAGTCGCATCCTTAGTTTTAAAAAGTGCGCCTAAGTGCACTTAAGGTGTCGGGTGCAGGTGGACACCAAAAAAAAGTTTCCAGTGGCACAGACGAGGCGGTGAACAACAGGCGTGTACTTCTTAAGATTTAGTGCTTTTCCATAATAACCATGCGCAGATGTTTCTACGCCTTTCGAGGAGGGGAAAATTACTTTAAAAAAGTTTGTCTGCTACATCACCATTGATAAGATGCATTTGATATATATTCTATGATATTTTCCTCATATTTGAATAACTAAAATTGCTTAAATCATGGATTTTGATTATATTTCATATTTTATGGATTAGGTTGAAGATTTGGATAAAGTAAGTTCAAAATCTAATGATTAGCATATCTTCACAAAATCCCCAAATTAAGGAGGAAAAATCGGAATTCAAGAAGCAAGACTAGAAGAGGTTTTCGCATATGACGTGGGCACGGCTTATTCATCCTGAGCTATCGCAAAAGAAGTCTTCAGTTAAGGAATGGGTGCGCCTTACCCAGTCTGTACAACCCTAAATTAGGGTTATAAATTTACAAGTGAAAAAGAGTTTATTGACGGCTAGAAGACTCTTTTGAATTATTCTTATCTTTAGAAAGGTGAGGGCATTTAAAACCCCTATTTTGTGGTATTTTCTTTAAGAGAAATTTCCTTATCTAGA